AAGCAGCTCCAAACCTCCAGGTCCCGTGCAAGAAACTGAATTTCCCTTTGGCGCCAAGCACCCACGGGGGCCCCTGTGCACTCTCCACCCTTCTCCTTCCCATCCAGATTTTCACGTCCCTTCCTGCACTGGAACCGCTGCCCTCCACCAAGACAGCACCAAGTGCTGGTCCAGCCCAGTGGGCCCACCGCCCCCCCAGCAGAGGAAACCGCAGGCCGTGCCCAGTGGCTCCACGCATGGAAAGAAGTCAAAGCTACAGGGAGCACACCTGGCGTGTTCACTTCGGGAGGCACAAGTGTGGGCCCCCGACAGACCTCGCCGCTGCCTGGGGAGTCTCCGCCTCACCTGTTGATTCCGCTAACATACACCTTCCTCCAGTCCGCAATCCCCACCAAATCCTGCGTGTGACATCCCCCCTCTTTAATGACAAATGTTCTGGAATGTCCATAGAGAAGAAAATGGACGGCACGGAGGAACGATTTCCTGGCCAGGCCTTCCCTTTCACCTCCGGATGTCGGAATACTCAGAGTGTTCGTCTTCCCACTCGCTGCTTCCAGAAGTTCCCTGGACCCCATGGGCCGCCGCTCTGACCCGGGCGTGGGCGTTTGGGGGGCTCTTGCTGCCTCGATCGCCCTTGGCACCTCGGCCGGTCTCCCTGCTGCTGGGCTCCAAGAGGTGGTGACCCGTGTCCCCGTGGTGGGCCCTGGAGAGCTTGGCTCTGTCCGCCTGCAGGTGGCGCTCGGGAGGCGACGTGGGTGGCCTCTGGATGGCGGAGGTGCAGAAGCTCAGGATGGAGCACAGGCTCCCCCAGCTCTGCTCACACTGCGCCTGCACGCTGCGAGTGATGGCTTCCTTCACCTCCTCGCCACACGCCAGCAGCAGGTTCACCAGGTCCACGTAGGGCCTAGAGATTGAGAGCAGAGACACGGGGAATGGAACCAGTCCCGCGTGGGCCTCTGAGGACAGTGACCACAGCAGGAAGGCAGAGATGGTAAACCCAAGGCTTGGCTTCGGTTTGGTTGGGTGGAAGAGCTTTCTGGAATTACCTCCAGCCTTTACCCATATTCCATGGAGTCCTGGTCTCAACCACCGCTTATTGGGTGCTCATTACATACCAGGGCCCGTGCCAGGCACTGGAGAGAGTGAGGCTGGGACAGAGCCCACCACAGGAAAAGGGCAGTGACAATTCACAGGTGCACATGACAGAGGAGGAGCCTCTGGGGAAGGTGGGCGAGAATCAGGTCGGGCAGCTGTGGGAACAAGGACAGGAGGGCGGGAGAGCTCTGGCACGGTTTGGGTGGGCTAAGCAGGAGGGATTCAGTGAGTGTGGCTCCGGTCTTGGGGGCCAGAGAAGTGGTAATGAGGCAAAGGGCAAAGGATCTGAAATACCAAACTGGGGAGTCTTTTTGGTAGGAAAGGAGGAACTCTTGCAGGTTTAGGACTCGGGAGCCCCAGATTGTCCCCTCGCATGTGGCGTCAGCAGGGCCAGCCAGCTTTGCAGCAGGTGTCCCTCCTCCAGACAAGCCTTCTCTAAGCCAGACTCCCAAGAAACCATTTCCCCGTGTCTGTGTTGGCCCCTGGTTCAGGCTCATGATGAAGAAGGGTGATCTTGGAAGTTCCTGGATGCACTGCCCGGGGCACCTAGAGGAGTCTGGACCAGGTGGAGAGGGTAGGGGGAGACCGCCTCCCTGGGAGGTCACATCCCATGGGGCGCTGCTCTGTGTTGGGAATAAGGGCTGAGGGGCTACCTAAGCATCTTTTCATCTGGGCTTCCCCAGAGCTGGAGGTGAGGGCTGGCCATGAGGGGCCTATGTGGTTGGAGTGAAAGCCAGCTGTCTGCAAAAGAAACACCTTAGTTCTGGAGAGAAGAGCTGGTTGCTCAGGCCATTCCAGCGGCCATGGGTCTTTCTTTAGGGAAGGTGCAGGAGGAATGACCAGACCACGTGAACCTTCCTCCTGGGGTTGGGACCTTTGTGCAGAAGGTGGGAGCAGTGTGCCTGCTTTTTATATTTATGGGCCCAGCTGGGAAGAGGTGTCCCCAGCAATGGGCTCTCCTGGCCCAGTCATTAAGCCTTTCTTACTTGTCACTGACCTTTTAACATCCCCAAGGGGGTTGTGGAATGTTGCATGTGGCTCACCAGCATTCTTAAGCAGACCTCAGCCAGCAAAGGTGCTGGATCTATCTGTCCATGAGCATCGCAGCTCTAGGTCGTCACCTCGGGCAGGGAAATCACTTTGGACCATGAGATCACTTATAAGGACCAAGACTTTCTCCCCGTGTGAGCCTGGACCACCTGGGTGGCTGCACACTAGCCCACTTTGCAAGCTGGCAGGGGCTGCTAGGCAGGAAGGTGGACTGTGCTGACTTGGGAAGTAGCTTACTGCCATATTTATGAATTAGTCTTCAAGTTGTAACCAAGTGAACTGTCTTCCTTTCATAGATGTAAAAATGGATTCAAGGTGGGGAGAAGGTGGCTTTTGGAAGCCTCTGGGCCTGGAGGTCCTGGGGCTGGGCGTGGAGAGGAGGAATGTTCGGGCGGATAGATCAGGCTGCCTTTTAAGGCCGCCTTCATGCCTGTGGAAGCAGAGAGTTTGCTTGTGGCTGATGGGCAGGGTGCTTGAACCCCATAACGAAGGCCCCTAACAGTGACAAGGACAGTGATGACACTGGTCTTCTTGGGGTGAGGGAAGGGCATGGGGCAACCCAGGGAAAATGGTCAATTTGTGCTAGTTTCCTCCCATCTCTTGAAAACTAGCCCCTGGCTGCCTCAGGGAGCTCAAGTTCACTGAGTTTACCTGCTCCAGCAGCCAAACTGTACCTGCCACTTCTCCATGAGCAAATTCTCCAGGCTGAGAATCTTCCTGCCTTTTGGGGACACTAAACTGAGGCTCCTCCTCAACTTTCTTTCCCTAGCGTAGGGGCTGTCCTGGGAATGAATGCACTGCCTCTTGGCCTCCTTCGCCAGGAGGCCGGCCAGCCAGATGGCTCTCAGAACCCAAGGTGGGCCCGAGAAGGCTGGGCCAGCCCACCTACTTCTTGGCGCCCTGAGCTGCGACCGTGGGGAGGGGCGTGTGAGTCAAAGCTGTGTTCCGAGCTGGCGTGGTGCCTTCTCAGGCTGCCAGTTCAGCCCGTGTCTAATGACAAAGCCCAGCTCTCTGAACTGGGTGTCAGCAAGGCTAAAGCAGTTTTAAAACTACTTAGAAGGGGTTGTGCCCGGAGGCAGCCAGCACCCAGTGACAGGGTGTGTGGTGGCCAAGGCGGCTGATGTGGAGAAAGTGGGGCAAGAAGGGGTGAGGGGACCACTTTAACCGAGTGTGACAGTGTTTGGGGTGGATGGGGACAGGGAGGGATGGGGGTGACGTGGACAGTGGGGGGACTGTGATTGCCTCCTCTCTAAAATGAAAAGCAAATGTGATTCGATTCTCATTTTTCTTGTCGAGATCCTCTGTGTTAAAATCAGTTAAGATTGTTAAAAACCCAAGGAACTCGTTCAAGTTAATGTGCTGCATAGTTCTGGCTTCATAAGGGGAGGTGGGGGG